TGGCATATTCAATAGTAAATTATAATTAAAATTATCTTTTATATCATTCATTCAATTGTTCTCATGGTTCGTAGGTTGTGTGATATATTTCAATTACTTTCAAGCACAAATTACGGAAAAACCTATCGTTTTTTCAAAAAATTGTACTTGAACTTTTTTTAAAGAGCTTATCTTGCACAAGATACTTTTTTTCGGTTTTCGAAAAATAGGGAATGTCAACGAAAACGAGACCTGCAGAATTCTGTTAAACATCCTTTGTACTATTCAACAAAACATTTAATTAAAACAATCGGTGACATTTTTTATAATTTTTAAATTGTCTCAGGGGTTACATGTAAAATACACCCCAAAATAAAAAATAAAAAACCGTTTCAAATCCCGGGGGCCGTGACATCAGCTAGAACGATTGGGGAATATCAATTTTGGAGAAAATCGACTTATCGGTTTATGCGCTAGCATTGTGCACTGACGTTTTGCTGTCAATCGACTTTTCGGTACGAAGGACGCACAAAACATTGATTATGGCTACATCACGTGTTAGAGGAATTTTTTTATACATATAGCAACTGGATTTAGCCACTTTTTCTTACCAGGGCCCGGCGATAACAGTTTATGTGTTGAAAATTCGCCGCTTTCTGGCGCACGATTACAATACTTTCTCTTTTTACACTAGTATGTGCGAGAAAGTAGAAAGGGAGCATTTTTTTACTGGCCCTCAAATTTGTAATTGGGTACCTAAGTGAATAGTTTGCATTGTTTATAAAGCACGGTTGCTTAAATTAAGAATAAATTAAATTTTATATATTGAACATGGAATCTTGTTTAATGTGAAGCGCAAACAATTAATTGCCATCGCCTCGTATTATACCTATTCATTTAGGCGTACAATAATTAAGGAAAGAATTATGGGGAAGTAGATGCATAGAGTTAACTAGTGGTGTAACGGAATGACAGACTTTCCCGTATTAGTTTTCAATTTCCTTTTGTCTCGGGTAGCTATACGAACTTGTCACATCTTGCCAGTTATAATCTTTCACCGCCCAAAGGACTTTTTTTTAAAAAAAAAAGTCTTCATTTTTCGGTTTCCTAATAATAGAACTGGAATATTATTTCGAGAGTATTAAAAAACAGTAAACCGTGACCTAAATAGTAATTATCTTCGAAAAATTTGTAATTGCGCTTGAGCGCTACAGTAAATTCGAAATTTGAAGCACTTTTTCACAGAAAAGTTTTGAGTATTAAAAAAACTTCATTTGAAGTAATTTGAAGCACTGTAACAGTCAAATAAAAGTGTTTACAAATTGCTGTAAATGTGCATACTACTGGCGCGAGAAATATTTCAAAATAATTACATTTGTATAATTTTTGGAAAAAAAATAAAAAAATACCCCGAAATGACCTTTACGTCATATTAAAGAGTGCAATTAGCATTAACCTTTCGAAAAGTTTGAAGGAAAAATTTGGAACAGTTTTTCAGAAAATGACGATTGAACATTTCTGAAACGGCGAAATTTTGAGCTAGTTTTGACAGAAAACGGTTGTGTTTCGATAAGTTTATCTGACATTATTTAAAGCACATATACTCATAAATATAATAATGTGAACAAAATGCCGCGAATGTAAATATTAACAACGTAAGAGAGAAGTAAAAAAAATTGCAATCCTGAAATTTTTGAAAAAAGAATAGAGCAATATGGCGTTTATGTCATCTTATAGCGTGTATTTAGCACAATCCCTACCAAGAGCTTAAAGAAGAAATTTGGAGCCGTTTTTAAGAAAATTTGGTTTTGTAATTTTTTAAAAGTGCACAATTGCACACAATATTGCACGTAAACTAGTAAAAGTTTCGAAAAAATGTAGACGACTTTAATGAAAAAACATATTATGGACAACAAATATTATTTGAAGGAAAAAATTTCTATCTTTAATTTTGTAGTTGGATGAAGGCCCCAAAAAGAATTCAAACTTTTGAAATTTTCGAAAATTTAGAGTTAACCGTGAAAATCAGACTTATGTAACATTTGTAAGTGCATTTTACTCTATTCATATAAGAAATTTAAAAAACAAATTTGGAGCCATTTTTTAGAAAATTTTGAAAATGTCCCAAAGGCCGTCCCTGAAAATGTCCCAATAACTCTCAAACTCTGCATCACTGAAAGGAAATTAAATGTCATAGGAGATGATGCATCGACAGAAGGTAAAGAACAGGAATCCATACAATTTTACAGTGATGATTGGCAAAATTATAGGAGCAGAGGGGGAAACAACAATACAAAACTGCTTATTGATTTCCATAACTTAAATAATCTAGGAATAAAAAATTATTTTTTTAAACTAAAGGAAAAACATAAATTTACATGAGAAGCAAGGGGAACTAAATCAATAATTGACTGTATAATAGTGAATGAAGAATTATTCAATAAAGTGAGAAATACAAAAGTTTTCACAGGAAAAGAAGTAGATACAGATCACTACCTACTAGAAACAAAACTTAAATTAAATAATCAAGAAATTAGGGAGAGAAGTCAGAAAATTAAGTCAGCTCCAAAGTTGAAAACCTATTTACTAGAGGAAGAAAGTCAGACAGGTATTTAAATGAAAATCAACTTACAGAGAAATTGCAGATGGTGGATATACAAAGTATACTCAACACTGAAAAAAGCAATATTATTCTCAGTTAAGGAAGCTATAGATTTGAAAGGCCAAAGAAGGAGAAATGGGTAAGGACTGGGAATAATGAAATACAAGAAACCATAGCCAAAAATATCTTCAAACTTGTAGTACAGAAGACTATACTGAATATAAAAGATATAAGAGTTCAGACAAGAATAACACGGGCTGTTAAAAGAGGAGACTGGAAGAAATTTGAGATAACACTAGAGAGGTATATCATGGGCCCCAGAGAAATGGTTTCAAAATATTAAGAATGCTAAGAATGGACATAAGGGACAAAATCAATTTGGACCCAATCCCAAAGTGGAAGTGGGTCAAGCCATTACTCAAAACTTTGGAATAGTGATGTACCATCAAGTATAAGAAGAAATGATAATGACATTACTGAACAAAATAGAGTACAGGAAATAATATAGAAGAACTGAAAGCAGTACTGTGGGAGGTGGTATTGGGTTAGGCATGAATCTCTTCACTTTTGGAACAAAATAACATTATTATTAAACTATTAAAATAACTAATACACATTACTACATGTTAATTTAGGAGAGCACTGAGCTCACGTCTTGCCTCTCTAACCATCATAGCCCAACTGTCCACTCAACAGTGTTGCCAAGTTGTTTTACCTTTCTTCTTCACCAGTAAAATCCCTAAAAAATCCTCCTCCAATTCCCACAGTACTAAAGAAAGCCCAAAATTGGAAAAAGCCAAGTGTGGATGAAATCCTAATATAACTAAAATACAAAGGAAATGATCTCAAGAATACCCTAACTAAACTACTTAACAAAGCTTGGGAAGAGTTTTCACTGTCAAGAAAATGGCAGATACTGATAAATTTATACAAGAAAGAATCAAAAACAGATTGCAACAACTATAGAGGGATTACTCTCCTGTCTACAGCATCAAAACTTTTCGCTAATATCTTAAGAAATAGATTGGATGAATATAGCAAAAAATTCCTGGAAGAAGAACAAAATGAATTTAGAAAGAGCACAAGTACAAAAGATGCTATTTTCACAGTACAGACAATTTGGGACAAACAAATGAATTGAACCTTCCAACGTTCTTCCTCTTTATAGACTTTGAGAAAGCCTATGACAGGGTGAACAGAAACGAAATACAGGAAATAATAGAAGATAAAGAGATACTTACAGACATAATAAAAGGAATCTAGAGACTGTATACAGACTCTCAGATTGAAGTAAGAAATAATGATGGAAGCAATACAGAGACTTTTAGAACAAACAGTGAGCTGAGACAGGGGTGTGGGCTATCACAATGCCTGTTTAACATATATGCAACCCACATGATCAAAACATGGAAACAAACTCAGCATCAACAAAAGGGAAAACAGGTATAAATTTTTAACAAAAAACAAATGGTCCAAACAATTCTCTATGCAGATGACATGCTCCTAACAATGGAATCAGAAGATGATTTACAGAGCAAATGAATTTCATAAAATAGCCTTAACATACAACATGCAACTCTCAACAAATGAGACAAAGGTATGGCATTCCAAGGCAAAGAAATGAGAAAAGTTTAAATTGTTATAGATTGAAAAATTATAGAACAAGTAGCAAAATGTATGTATCTCAGAAACATCATTGGACAAAATTTGGGATATCAAGAAAGAAAAATTCAAAAATATAATGTGGTAAATGGAATAATCAAGAAAATTCTTCTTCTTTGGAAGAGATATGGCAGCACAGACAAAACTAAGAATACACAACATAACATCTAAGCCAATGTTAATGTAAATGGATCCTAAAACAAAGATATTGCCAGAGATAATGGCCACACAAATGAGATTTTTCTGGCACCTGGTAGGAATTGCATGTTTAGAGCAACAAAGAAACTGAAATCAGAAAAAAACTCAAAGCAAAAAATATACTGGATGCCATTGAAGAGAACCAGAGGAGATGGCTTTCACATGTGCGAAGAATATGAGTGGAAAGATTTCCTAAAGAAGTTTTAAAGTATAAACCCATAGGGGAAAGAAATATAAAAGACCCAACATAAGATGGATTGCTCAGGACTATCTGGAGGAATAATCGCTAGATCCTACTGCCTTTTAACAGGAACAGGCACAAGACACGCTCCTGCTTTTCATGATGATGAATAATAAATAATTATGGATTTAAATTTCCCGCACAAATGAGGCCACTACTCGACTCAATTTATGCCTTTGGCGGGATTTACAATATTGTATAAATTAAAATACTTTATTTTCTGAAGAACTTATAAAATAATATCTCGTTTAAAATTATGATTCTGGATCGTGTTGCTTCACCAATAAGCCCAGGAACGCCAAACATGATTCCTATTAGTGTGCTTTGTACCATGGTATGTATACGTACATCCTGTTTGTGGTATTTTTGAATTTCATTGGTTCTTCCGAATCGTCCAATTACGAACAGTGGATTGAAGGATGTACACTCATAGGAGTGCGGAAGGAATTGGCGGGACGTGCTCGAACTTGCATTTGTGGTCAAGTTGACGGCGTGATTAGGGACGTAGGTATTTGCCGAACGCGTTAAAGTTATACTTTATTATATTGTAATCCTCGGATTGTTGTTATTAGAAGGTAATGTTGAGAAATACATTTTTCCTGTATCATAAGTACCACGATCAATTATTAGCATTATATTTCAACCAAAATGTGTAATGGCTTAATACAATAACTAGTATGAAGCCACAATTAGTAGTCCTTGTTGCTTTCAGAAGTTAATAGGTACCTATTTCTGCGAAAATGGGATCGACAGCTGTTTCTCTTGCATCTACTGTGTTAAATCAAGATAATCAGGATGAGGCAGTGGAAGATAGTGGCCCTCAGTTAATAAAGTCATTGGAGGTAATTTGTACACATTTTCCCTCAAAGATTGAATTTTGTAAATATTAATTCTGGCCAAGAAAATTGTTTTCTTAAGTGGTGGCAAAACAAAGTTGGTATCTGAAACAAATCCTTCCAGCCTAATGACAATTTGGTCATATTTCTTTATTCGAAGTATATTAATTGGTGTGCACCTCTTCCTTAAAATTAAGCAAATTATCATCATTACAGAAGTAAAATGCTTGGCAAAATGGAGTCTTTTCAAGAAAATAAATGTTAAATGTCTGCACTTATAAATATACATGTGCATATATTTCTGCCCACATATATTCTGCACTAACTTGTGATTTACTGATGCAATTATCTTTACTGCGGTGTCTTGATGTGTAGTATATATTTTATGTATAAAATATTTAAATAATTATGGCAAATTTAAGTGTAACAAATAAAGTAATTTCATAATTTTATTAGTTTTACTTCTAATTTACATTTTGTTGGTGCTCTCAATTTTTAAGCATCTTTTTGTTGTTTTTTCTTGAAGGGATGCTACCTTATATAAGGGAAGAGATTATCCATGAAACCAAAATTTAAGTTAATGAGTCAATAAGATGATACCAGATTTTTTGCCAAGAGTTATCAGAGAGTTTGGAATCCATAGGTTGAGGGATTCCTCAGTCTATCTTTAACTAGGAATATGTTTATTCCAGGCATGGTTATGTCACTTGGCAAGATTAAAACAAAATATATTTATAATTTTCATATTGTTACTTTTTTATTTTATTTTAGTCTCATGGAATTAGTGCAGCAGATGTGAAAAAACTTCAAGAAGCAGGATATCATACTGTAGAATCGGTTGCTTTTGCCCCCAAAAAGCACTTGATTGTCATAAAGGGAATTAGTGAAGCCAAAGCAGATAAAATTCTAGTAAGTAGATTAATATGTTTTCTTATAGAGCTTTTTATGTTTTCTTCAAGTATCTAAAGGAATTTTATTGTGTGTTTATCAGATGGAAGCTACAAAGCTTGTGCCTATGGGCTTCACCACTGCTACTGAAGTGCATATGCGACGCGCAGATATTATACACTTGACTACTGGCTCCAGAGAGTTGGATAAGTTACTAGGAGGTGGAATTGAAACTGGTTCAATTACTGAAATTTTTGGTGAATTTCGCACTGGGAAAACTCAGTTATGCCATACTTTGGCTGTAACCTGCCAAGTAAGAATGAGTGTTATAAGAGTATGAAACTGTGAGACAATACATCTGCTAAAATTCAAGTTGATAATTAAATATGTTGATACCTTTCTTAATATAGTGATTTAAATTGAATTGTCACTAAAAGTTACTTTCAATTTTGAACCAAATAAAAGGGAAGTTTTGCAATTTGAAATTTCTTATGATATACGCAACAAGTAACGCAGAATACGGCAGCATTGTTACCTGGTTTTGTTTACTACACTCCGTGAAGTCGCAGAGGTTAAGTGAATTGGAGGTTAGCTGGTTTCTGGTTGGGTGACTGGCTAGGAACCCTGGGATCTAATGGCGTCGAGCCTCTTTCTGAAGGGGTAAAAGGCACTGACTGACTGCAATGTGACGAGACTTGACAAAGATTGTAAAGAAGGATTACTCCAAGCAAGCGCTCAACTCTCAACAAAGGTTTATGAGATGCATTGTGTCAATGATGATTAAAAAAACAACCAACAACGACTACTTTATCTTTGAACATGAAAATTGTCTGTTGGCTTTGTATTTTCATCTTGAATATCTGAATTCAAATCATAATACTGATCAAGTGTTTAACTACTATATTTATTTTAATAGATATCCTCTAATAATATATGGCAGTCATTTGTAATTAAAAATATATTTGCTCAAAATCATATTTGTTTAGAACTGTTCCCTTGGTTCTCAAAAACTGGAAAAGCTATTTGGTGTGATATAGTTACAAGAATTTCTAAAATAATGTTTTCATATAATTCCAGCTTCCTATAGACCAGAGTGGGGGGGAAGGAAAGTGCTTGTATATTGATACTGAGGGGACATTTCGCCCTGAAAGATTGCTGGCTGTAGCTGAACGATATAACTTGTCAGGAAACGATGTCCTTGATAACGTTGCTTATGCCAGAGCATACAACACTGATCATCAAACTCAGCTCCTTATTCAAGCTTCAGCTATGATGGTAGAATCAAGGTAAGTTTTGAGATTTGTCTCTTGCATACAATTTTAACTTGATATTTAGTGTATCTTATGAGGTAAACGTCATCTCTTGAGTATACAGAATAAGAAATGTAAAGGCTTAGTATTTGGGATATTAAGAGCAAAATAAAAGGTTTGAGTTATTAAATATTTCATAGAGTTTTGATGTACCAAGAGGAAACTTTCAATGGCTTTTTGATATTGCTGCTTAAGGATTCCGGAGGTGGGCAGTGAATGAAGTGTTACAGTTAAATAAATGAATTAGTTTTATTGTACCAAGTTTACAGAGATCAATAACTCTCTCACTTTCCTCTGTGCAATGGAAAGAGCACTGTAAATGTCATTGGCTTGCCCAGACACAACAAAAATTCATATTCTTAAATTTATGTTTTCATAATACTTGTTACTTTCATTAACACATATGTGTATTTATATAAGAGATGAACACCCAAATTGTATTATTGATTTTTGGTCTGTTTCATACAAAATACCTCTAGCAGGACAAAAGCTGAAATTTTTTGTTGGCTGTTCCATTTTATCTTGTTATTATACCTTTTTTTGAATTTTAATTTGGCAACACTTTTGCCACTTTAGCGTCATTTGTTTACATTTAAGAGGGAAGAGTATTTATCAATGTGAATTAATGCGAACTTTTGAAATTCTTTATTCTTATTTTAATGACCTACTTTGGAACCAATAAACCAAGAGTGAAATTAAATTGCAATTTGCCTTCCTTAATATGATCAAAATCAGTTGTGTGTATGTATATATGTATGTATATATGTATGTATATATGTATGTATGTATGTATATATGTATATATATATGTATGTATATATATATGTATGTGTATATATGTATATATATATGTATATATGTATATATATATATGTATATATTCAAACGTGAACGAACAGATTTATGTAATTGAAATGCATAAAAACACAAACATACAGTAAGAAAAACAATTTAAAAAGCAAGTATACAAATTTTACATTATTATAAATATTTGTTCAACAAGCCTTTCACAATTCTCAGAAACAGCAAGATAGTGTGTGTATTAATTCCAATCCAACAACGTTGGCAGTTCTGCACATCATGTTAATAGGTGTGTCAGCTGAATACAAATTCTTGCAGCGACAAAGCAAAAATTGATCAGTTGATCTAGAATTAAATGATTGGGCTCTGAAGTTCAATTGTGCAAGAAGAAAAAGGCAATTGAAATTGCTATTGAGTAATTCACTCAGAATAATCAAATAAGCAACCCCTATACAATCTCAGAGATGAGATATCCAGTCACTTTGCTTTCTGATCTTCTGATTTAATGGTCATAAAGTTCCATAGTACATGCTGCAATTCTGATGGTGCAATATCAAGTCACATGGTTCATGACGCAATTCAATATAGTGACCAAACCAGAGGAGAGTATATCATCACCAGTATTTTAATTGTCAATTACAATAATCAAGCCCTCTGCGAGTGTAGTTCAAGACATGTTCTTCTAACTAACGGCAGTAGTTTCCTTGCTCTATTAACAGTAAACTGTATGAGGTCTTTTAAGGACATTCTAGAATCGAAAATTACCCCCAGATCGCTTATTGATGATACCTTTTGTAGTACCATTAAATGAATGGTGTAATGTGTCTTCTACTCTTGTGGGTCTGCTAAAAGTAATAGTTCTATTTTTGTTAGAATTTAGTATTAGATCATTGCTTAGAGATTTTGTCAGGTTGAATAAATTAAAAATTAAAATCCCTTTTTTTTTTCAGAAAGAAAGAAAGATATCAACAAGTTTTCTTGTTCATCAAGGGAAAGCAAGATCAATTATTGATTATATTATGATTGTTTTGTAAAATTCAGGGAAGTTTTTGCGTTTGCGAATTACAAATTTAAGAAATGAGTAATTAAAATATGATAATTCTTCAAAATTTCTTGCTTTAGACAGGTTTATGCAAACAATTATAAAAATAAAATAGGCATTAACCACTCTTATAGGTATTTTTAGGTACTGTTAGATGCTTTCAGCATGTTTTCATGGTTTGTAAACATGTGCAATTATTTTCTAGAAGAAACTAAAGGAACTAAATAGGCATTTGTCCTGAAATCAGAGGTCTACTCATAATGCACTGCCATTCTGGCCCGCTTTTTGACACTCAACACAGGTGGAATTTTTTAAATGAAATAAAAGAATGAACATGTTTAATAAAACCCCAAGGACTCTCTCTCTCTCTCTCTCTCTCTCTCTCTCTCTCTCTCTCTCTCTCTTTCTCTCTCTTTTTTTTCTCTCTTTTTCTCTCTCTTTCTCTCTCTCTCTCTTTCTCTCTTTTTTTCTCTTTTTTCTCTCTCTCTCTTTCTCTCTCTCTCTTTCTCTCTCTCTCTTTCTCTCTCTCTTTCTCTTTCTCTCTCTCTTTCTCTCTCTCTCTCTCTCTCTCTCTCTCTCTCTCTCTCTCAAGATTTGGTTCTATGTTCTTTTCTCTCCTAAATCCAAATTGTTTTTCAGAGAGAAAGGGATGGATCAGATAACCAATTTTATTTATGATAATAGATTCAAACAATTTAGGTATATTCAAGATACTATTCATAATAGGTCTATAATTCAATATACAGTTTCTGTTACCAGCGTTATAGATTTGTATTATGTAGGTGGATTTCCATTCACTAGGAATAGACCCTTCCGGAAGAGATTTATCAAAAATTAATCTCAAAATTTGCATAAAGGCAAATTTTCAATTTTTGAGAGAGTGCAGATGTGCCATTTGGTCCCAATCCAGGTTGTCAGTCTCTCAAAGAATATTCATCTCGCTTATGTCAATGACATCAACCACATATGCAGATTTATCAACCAGATCAGAGTTATAGATGTTTTGTTGTAAGTTGTCGGTAAAACTTTGAGAAATAATCAGCAAAGCCATGTACCGTGAGTAGAATATCGGAAAAAGGTTTTACCAATCTTTTGCATTTACTCCTCAAGTTACGAAAAAGTATATAATATATTGGGGGTTGATTGTCTTGTACTTCAGTCAAGCTTCTTTCTTGGCTGTGATTGTTTCTTCAAGTGGCTACTTCGCTCCTTGGGAGATGCCGTGTCCAAGCAATAGGTGCCAATGTTTTGGACACAATTCTGCAACCTTCCTCAGTTTGAAATGCCCTATCTTCTGGCATTATTTAATTTTTTAACATGATCTGTGTAATTGTATTTTTTAATACAATCAATATATTTCATGTAATTCTCTTGGTTTTTATTTTCAGATATGCTCTACTAATTGTGGACAGTGCAACAGCTTTGTACCGAACTGACTATTCTGGTCGTGGTGAACTCTCAGCCAGACAGATTCATTTAGCACGTTTTCTTCGAATGTTACTTCGCCTTGCTGATGAGGTAATTTTTTGTACTGTTAAAGAAAACAAGTGGTCTGTTATACAGTCCACTCTGGTTATAGTGAACCTCTAGGGACTAACATTTTTTTTGTTCACTATATCTGATGATGTTGGTAATACAATCATGAATCATTTTCAACTATGAATGTTTTTTTTTTTTTTCCTGAGTCAGAGTAATAACCATTTGGTAGAAATTCAGAATTTCAAAATCTTCAAGCTTTCTTCATACTTTATTTCACATTGTCTACACACTAAATCTCTTCGTGCAGTTGCTCCATACTTGCTTCTTGCTCTGTAAGAGCATTCTCTTCATGCTTGTAACTTCATCATAAAACTTATTTTTTTCTATTCTGAAAGATGGGACTTCACCCTTTCTCCACATTCATGATTTTTGAGTTAGATCAGGTTTCACTAGTTTTCAGCTTGCAGAATGCCTTCATTAATTCTTCGCCATTGATGAGCAAGTCCCTCAGAAGCTTGGTTCCCCCAATCATTCATATCATTGAAAATAATTCACAAAACCCTTTAACTTGAAGTGTGTAGTATATGAATTTGTTGAACTGAGGTGGATTTTCACCCTTGAAAATTGAATTTACTGTGTTCACTATAACTAGAGTTTGGAAGTTTGGGCATTTGTTTTACCTAAAATAGGCATGCAAAAAAAGCATTTGTTCTGGCTATAATAGAAGGTAAAAGCACAGGAAACATTAAAAATTCACCATTTAATTAGTATAAAAACTTAATTGAATGATTCACATTTTTATTTAAGGTCTAAAATTTACATTAGCACTCATGTGGAAGGAAACTACCTTTTCTTTGTAATCTTGAGAGCACATGACCACTCAGTATGGCGACTATGAAGTAGTTTTACTCGCCATGCTGTCTCTACAAAATGCTATTGTGAACGCTCTTTTGAATCTTGAAATCGTATAAATAAAAATGGAATTGCAGATTTGGTCTTTGCTCTTGTGTAATCGCCAGAAGGGAAGAGAGAACAAAGAAGAACTGAGAAGGGTGTATCATGTACTGAGAGCTCGCAAAAGGGATCCGTGACTATACACAAACATAAGATGAAGCGAACAAGTCTGTAAGCATCAATGAAAACTATCAAAACTCTTCACTGCCATGATCTTCTTTTCCTTTTATGATTTTGTACACAACCTGACACTGGAACCTGTGTGTCCTCAGAAAGACAAAACACGACCATGCCTTAATGTTGTCCAGGCTTGCAGGTATGATTCCAGTTTGTCAGAGATTGGTGTCCTGAGGAAAAGAGGGTAAAAAATGATTAAAAAGGCACGAATTAGGCAAAATGCCTGAAATAGTCATCAGAAGCTAAAATAGGAAGGGACTAATGGAAAATCTAAAATAACTTTAGAATTTGAATGAAGTGATTCCTAATGTTTAGTCATAAAATCATAGCAATAATAGAGGCATTTTGCCAAACTGCTGGACTCTAACCAATGTGGAGAGGTTACTCTAACTGAATCTTCTAATCCTTATTTGTTATGTATGTGAATAAGAACCAGTCAGCCGTGTAATTAATGATCAGGATGAAGGGGTGTTAAATGTGGTAAGAAACTTCTTTTATCTTCTTACACATGTTTTAACATGCTTCACTCCTCACTTTGACAAGATCTATATTTTCACATGTAGGGAATATTAAAGAATTATTGTTTATTTTGTGAAACCCCTTGATTGTTACTTCCCAACAACTGTTGCCACATCCCAGTTTTTTGCTAAAGATGGTTGCCTGTATGGGTGGTTGTGGTAGACAAATGAAGTGGAGAACTTGCCTAATAATTCTTGTATAATTTTCTCTATTACAAACTGGACTTTTCTTAATATTTCAATCCTATGGACGTAACTGATAGGTCATTTTCATTTACTGCTCTGTCCTATGGATGTGTGGCATACTACATTTATCATACATACATCCAACTACATTTATCATTTTAGCCATTATCGTCTTTTGGACGTTCATAGGCCCCTAGAATATGCTTTTTAATATTATGGTGTTCACAGGACAAATAACAACGTGTGCTTCTATTTTCTGCAAGTATTTGGACTTTCTGCAGGAAGTAATTGAATATTCACACTTAGGGGCATATACAGATTTAAAGAAAAACAAAACAATACTACAAAATTTTATCAATTTCCAACTAATGTGTACTATAGGTTTTTTAACAATTTTTGAATAAAAGCTATGTGGTCCAGGACACAGGAGTTAACCACCTGGTGTATCCCTCAGGATCGAATGTGTTAATCACATGCAAGTTGTTTTCAACTTCAAGTATAACACTAATCTATAAGACTTATTTTGTGTGCAGAAATTGAGAGAAAACTATGCAGCCTTTAGTCAAGTGAGAGCTGTCTTTAGTTTTGTTACCCATAAAGTCGGAAAAATCCAAAAATAATGAGAGTTTGGATTTTGACTGAAAAAGACATAGTTTACATGATTGTGATACTACACTTATTCTGAAACTGCCTACCAGCTGAATTTTCATTCTTGATACATCACTGCTTACAACACAGCTGTAATGCAAGTGTCCAAAGAAGAGGCTGACTGCCATAGTTATCACATTTGTAAAAATCATTTTTCATTTTTAAGACACTCTGGAGTGATCATCTTTAAGAGGGGAAGAAAAGCTATTTCTGAAGGAAAATTAGCATTTGCTGGTGAGAATTAGAGGTACAGCATAAAGGGGACCAAATTACATTGGTCTTATTGGAAAATAATTTTCATCTCCAAAATATTGGTCCAAGAGAGGGTGGTGTTTGACCGTATAGAAGTGTGCGTCTGTAAAGGAGTTGAAAAAATGTATTCAGATATCGATGAAATGTGAAGTGATCCCAAATTTCTGGCAATAGCTACTTTATTCATTTAGTACTATTTTATTTCCAGTTTGGTGTCGCTGTAGTTATAACTAATCAAGTTGTTGCTCAAGTTGATGGTGCTGCTCTTTTTGCTGCTGATCCGAAGAAACCCATTGGTGGGAATATTATTGCACATGCATCAACTACAAGGTATTTTAGTTCATCAGCAATATCAATTTGTATAGTATTGCAGTGTAATTTTGATATACTGATGCACTTTGTTTTTTGTAGATTATATTTGAGGAAGGGCAGAGGAGAAACAAGGATATGCAAGATTTATGATTCACCATGTTTACCTGAATCTGAAGCAATGTTTGCCATTAATACAGATGGTATTGGGGATGCAAAAGAATAATCCTTTCCTTTTTTTGTGAATTAATTTATTATGAACGTGATTGAGTGATTGACGTATGCAGAATGTGGCACAAGACTACATTGTCACATCAGTTGTGAAAGAATGAATGCATTGTAAATAAGATTGTTTTTAGAATTTTATGAATTGTAAATTACAAGATTGTATCAAATACACTTATATTGTTTTTGAAGTTTTAAATTTTTGAAGTTTTTTATTTGTTAGTTGCCTGGAATGATAAAATATTTATCATAACTTAAGTCATTACATTTCATTAACCCCTTTTTAGGCATACACGGGTCTAGTAGACGTTTGCATTTTCAGCACTTAATATTTTGCCGAGTTGAAGGTGTAAGTTTAGGAGACCTATAATGAATGATTTTGCATTTAGTAGCAAGGTGAGATAGTCCCTCTTTCATTTGGAGTGTGACCTGTGTGATTGCCGGATCCAACATACCTAATGGCACCTCATGCAATTCACAGAAAGTTTGTCGGGCCGTTGTGTTGTGCTGTTAGCGTAAACTAGTGCTTCCTGGGTTTGCAGAAGTTCAAATATCATAGCATGTTTCCCTTTTTATACCATACTCAATATGAATAAATGCTTCAATCTGTAAATTGCAGATGTAATGTGATGGGTAGTCACAAAGATAATTAAATGGGAATAATAATAAATTGCTGTAATTGTAAATATGGACGTCAGCTACAATGGTGGCGTAGAAAAGAAACGGAGGAGAGTTATTTTGGAAACAATACAAGGAAAGGTAAAAGAATTGATAGTGGGGAAAATATATATGTTAATAAATAATGCAGCGAAAGGATATGAGCAAATTGCATGTGGCAGAAAGTTATTACTATTGGAGGGTGCACTAATTACTGTATTGGAATAATAGGAAATAATGGACGAGACTGAAGAAGCACATGTATATTTCAAACACAATATTACATACATATTTCCATTCAACAACAGAATAAATATCACAGCTGTTGCCTGGTTACCAATTCCACTACTACATCGCATCAGACTAAACTTTCTAACGAAACGTTACCCTTCCTGTCGATATATAGTGTAATGAATTCAATCAATCAAATTTCATTCGTAGAAAATGAACACATTTTTCATGTTTCTCTTGTGATGAAGATTTAGTTAAAATATCTGCAGTCATTTCTTCTGTAAACGTATATTCAATTGATGTTAGCCCTTTCTTGACAGCATCTCATATGAAGTGATGTCTAATGTCAATGTGTTTCGTACAAGAATGAAATACAGGATTTGTAACTGGATTTGGGCACCCATATTATCGTTCTTAATAATTTTTTTCATATCCAAACCAAAATCCTTGAGGAGTATCGTCATGTATGTAGCTTCCTTAGTTGCTTCTGAAAGAATCCCATATATTCACCTTCTGTTGAAGATAATTCTACAGTGTGCTGCTATTTAGATTCCAAACTTATTGCTGTACCATTCTTAATGAAAACGTATTCAGTATAAGATATCCAATCTATCTCAAAACTATCCCAATCAGAGTCAACAGACATTTTTGGTTTATCGATAGTTTGCTTAAAAATGAGACGCATATCCAAGGATCCTTTGAAGTAATGCATAATTTGTTTCTCAGCTTTCCAGCAGAGAGTATATTTCCTGTGGATTGAGGAATAACAATTCAAAAATTGGCTTAAATAACCAACTGTGAGTTATATCTAGTATTGTACTTACAGATAAATACATCAATGCTCCAAATAATTCACGATACAGCATATTTTTCTTCTTTTCTTCATGTTGTTTAATATTTAATTTCTGATTTGTTTTCTAAAAGAGTAGAAATTGGTTGGCATTCTGTCATACCAAATCTATCAAGAATACTACATATGTATGCTTTTTGAATAATGGTAATAGTTTTTCTATTCCTTGTAAATTTCAGTCCTTAGCAATATTTTATCTCGCCTAAACCTTTTACCTCAAATTCAACACTGATTTGATTTTTTAGATTTTCGTCAATGGACCCAATAAGAATATCGACATACACGATGACAAAACTTCTATTCTCTGGTGGACTGATGTTATAAACACATGAATCAGCTTCAGATGGAATGAGACCAATCTTTCTAAATACTTTGTCTAATTGAAAATTCTATGCCCGTCCTGCTTGATGTAAACCGTAAAGAACTTTCTTCAATAAACAAATGTTTTTGCCATTTTTTAAATCTGTTAACATTTTAGACGCTTCATGGCTGTAAAAATTTCCCGTCCAATTAAAACGATAGTATATTCTAGGATTAGTTCGAGATATTCATATTTCATGAAAATTTTCTCTTCTAAATCGCCATTTAAATATGCTCTAACTACATCCAATTGGCTTATTTTCATGTTTTTCTGACATGCCCCAGCAACTGCAGTACGGATCAAAGTTAACTTTACTACTGTGACGGTCCATTCGAACGCTTCACAATGATTACTAAAAATATGCAATAAGATAACTAAAAACAGACGTATTTAATATAAAGCGAAACAGTGGAAGGCGCAAGGGTGAAAGTACAAAGTGTTTATTTCTTTTAAAAAAATCCAAGGAAATGTGCTGGTAGCAGACCTGGAAAGAATAAATAAAGAACCATTTAGGAAGGATACACAGTCACTCGAACTCTGAGTTGTTATATTACAATGAAAATCTTTTATTGAAAGAATGTTCGTATGTTTGGAAAAGACATGTGAAGGATATAAGAAATAGGTGATTTCACAAAGGTTTGATAAAATATTAGGAATTTGTAAAAAGGAAAGGGTAATTAAATTTATTATTTGAAGTTTAATTAGAAAGTATTTAAATGAAGAAATTGTGGAAACTAAAAGACTTCTAAAATTGGAATATAAAAAATGTACAGAGTTTGGGAGAAGAGAAGAGCTCTCCTTTGTTTTAAGACTGCGCGGTGAGGACGGAGGTGGGCATCAGTGCAAATAGACAGACGGGTTGGCGATCTAGTAGTGCTGACCTCGTGGCTGAAGTGAAACATGGTGATTTCATGTAAAAGTTGGTTGGATGGTGGTAGGATGTCGTAGAGTGGTATTGCATAGTAAGGAATATAGTCCGCGAGCGCTTCCATTTGGAGTTTGAAAAGAAAAGGATCGTACCCGCGACGAGAAGGTGCAAATACTCGCAGCAGTGGAGACTGCGCCATTTTACGGGGTCAAGCAACCATGAAGGTGACGCAATTTTGCAACAATCTTTTAACAAGGCCAAGATTGTAACCAAGTAATTATTAGTAATGGCCATTCGAGTTTATTTTCAAAACGAGTGCACTCGCGTGAATGAATTCATTTTAAATATGTATGAGTGAGTGAGTGTTTTTGAATTTGTTTTCTTCAAGATATCTTGTATTTAAAGGGTAAATTTCATGTGTTGTGTTATGTTTAGTACTATAGAAAACTGGTGTATATATGGCGGACTGCAGAATTCACCGTGTAGCATTTTGAAATATGGTGTTTGTCAATAAATAATTGCTGCTCATATTGACGGCATTGTTACAATTTGTGTGAATATATTAAAAGGTAATATAAACCCAATGATATAAGAAAGAACATACAGAGCCAGGTTCCCAAATCAATATGAAAATATTTCCGTTTCCCTTACAGAGCCGACGTCGCGAATTCAAACAAAATTTATAAATGTGTACTGTAGGAGCGTAAACTTGGCGTAACGTAATATATTGTTTTTAGTGTACAGGTTTTGACTCTCTCAAAGTGGGATGAAACATGAAAAAGGTTAATTATTTAAATTTTTAAATCACAAATTTATGATACATTACACAACGAGAGCAAAAGTTTGATCAAAATTGATTCCAGAGTTTTGAGAAAAACCTTGTGATACTAATCGAGCTTTCCTTTTCTCAATTGTTCCATCGAACTTATATTTATTGTGTAAAACAAATCTACTTCTTATTATTTGAAGATTATCAGGACGCGGAATGAGTTCCCACACTTTATTTTTAATTAAAGATTTAACCTCCGAGGTCATTACTACTTTCCATGCAATCGAATTTTCTCCTCTAACAGCTTCGATTAATGGATTAGCTTTTGCAGTACATGTAAGATCTGTAGATATGTCCACTTTCTCAACTTCGTTGTATAACTTCCAAGGTCTTTCTACAATGCCGCTTCTTAATATACGAGGACGTCGTAGTCTTCGTTGAATTTAAATATGTTCTTCCCGATTTGCATCTTCCCCTGTTTTGGAGTTATGTCAATTTCCGTCTCTTTCTCATTCTTCATAATCCTTTCGGGATATGACATCAGCATCATTCATTCTCTCATTGATGTCTTGCCGTTCGGCAACTACTTTCAAATTCAATTCGACTTCAGCACCTTTCCTGACATTTGATGTATGCTTCTCATAACATATATCTTCCATTTGAGGCCAGGTTCTTATAGTTTTATTATTCTTGTTCAAAAAATTTACATACCTAGTTAATTCAATTTTAGAAAATGTTGGTACCCAGAAGCGGTAAGCCTTCGATTGATGAGAATATCCGACTAAAATACCTTTTTCGGATCAAGCTTAAAATTTCTTTTATTTGGATTACGGTTTAAGCAAAATACTTGCATCCAAATTCTTTCAAATAACCAACGTATGGGATGCGATCGTGCCAGATCTCGAAAGGAGTCTTACCTTCAAATTTGTTTGTATTACAGAGATACCTTACATAATTTGCAGTAGAAACCGCCTCAGACCAGATTGTAGTAGTAGACCCATGGCAGCTTCGACTGGAGTTCTATTTTTTCTTTCTGCAACGCCATTTTGCTCTGGAGAATACGCAGCAGCTAATCATCGCTGAATTCCTTCACTCTGAAGTGTTCGTCGAATTGCTTATTGCTGACAATGTTTACTCCCGTTCGAAAGTTTCCAACTGCCAGTGGCCTTGTATGTTATCTCCATACTGGATGTGAACAGGTAAATTTGAAATTTCATAATTGTACTTGCTGTAACAAATGTTTGCAGGTAATGATGACACGAATAGTTAGATTTTAGTACAGCTACATTTTTACGATTTTTTGCAATACTAGTTTGCGCAAAATTGACGTAGCAGATTTGCATTAGCACAAATGCTAAATGCAAAAATGTAGATCATTCGCTATTAGTTCCGAAAATTCTGTCGCAACATCTTTTTTAACTACATTTTATTCTTCTCCGGATTTGCATAACACTTCCACATTTTTCTTTCCTAATGTTTGAAGAGGTTAAAACTCCATACACTCTAA